CAGTATTGGTCCATCATGGCAGGTGCTACTGGGATATGTAGCTTGACCCAGTGAAGTGTTAGTGGGCCACTGGTAGTCCACCCATCGCTGTGGACGCTGCACTGCCGTTGTCCCTGATGGGCAGCTCGACTGACGGACCTGCCTGATTAGAATACGTTTCTTACACAAATGTGGCTGCACCCGTCGTCCAATCAGAGGCAATGATGATATCATCTGTCCACAACGGCCCTGTTACACAGGTGAACACACACAGCTTTGTATCTGCTCTCATTGTGCTGCATTGTGTCCTCAGCACAATGAAGATCACTTCAAGCGTGATTATTGAGAAAGCTGCCACACAAACACTTGCTGCGACTGCTCGCTGTGTCGGACAGGTTCAGTATGCAAATCCTGAAGAGACCACCACCCATCCACCCATCCGCCCATCCACCCATCCACCCATCCACCCACTCACCCGCTCACCCATCCGCCCATCCACCCACTCACCCATCCACCCATCCACCCATCCACCCACTCACCCATCCGCCCATCCACCCACTCACCCGCTCACAGAGACCAGGGCATCATGCACACACGCTGGCCTTTGATGTACATGCAGAATAAAACCGATGGCTTGCTCAGTGGTCCAGATAGCCAGCAGCCATACGATACCTAATGTGCACAAGATGCTCCTTTGTGCTCACATTAGTAATTTCCACTTGTTCAGTAATCATTTGGGCCACAGTAGTGTTGTATTAAATCACATGTTTTCTTGCCCTCGGCCTGCTGCGTTCACCACATACAGCCTGAACCTGGATGTCTTTATGTGCAACACTCTGGATGTGATGGACATTACAGTGACGCTGACCGAGCACGTTGGTAGGAGCCGTGTCGGACATCTCTTTGCTCTCAAAACATCCTCCATTCATGTCGCTATGAATTCCACAAGCTGCTGGAAACGTTCCTCTGAGGTTCTGGTGCATGACGACATGACTGCATCACGTTATTATCTCCTGTTTTACCACATCCCAAACGTGTTCTGTTGGATTTAGACCTGGTGTCTGGGGACGCCTCAGACGTACGCTGAGCTCATTGTCATGTTTATAGAACCGTTTTGTGGGGACTTGTGCTTCGTTAAATGATGAATCAAGCTGGAAGGAGCCATTAGACGATAAAATGAAGCTGCACAGGGCAGCGACTGTATGCATACAGGCTGTGCATTCAAGCCATGATTGACTGGTCTTAAGGAGCCCAAAATATTCTGAGAAATCCTTCAGCGCACCCACAGCCAGGCCTGTTGGCACACGGCAGGTTGAGTCTGTGGATTTACATTATTGATGCCAAAGTGTGACCCTCCCATCTCTGTCCTCTGTGTCTACTGGAGACCCAGATTTATGTTCTGAACTGACAGTAGTGGAGCCTGATGTGATCCTCTGTAGCTCATCTACCTCCAGGTACCATGATGTTCTGATCACCACAGTCCTAAGGAGCGGTTGACCCCTTTTGCCGTCTCACAGCAGGTTGGCCTTTCTCCTGTGACATCCCTCATCAATAGAGAGTTCCCATCTGCAGAGCTGCAGCTTACTGGATAGACTCTAGAGACGGTTGTAGGTGAAAATCCCCAGAGATGAGCAGTTTCCAAAGTGCTCTGATCAGCCTGTCTGCTCCAAACCCTCATGCCACGGTCAGAGTCCCTCTGATGTTGATATGTTTGATGTGAACATGAACCGAAGCTCCTGACCTGAATGGTTTTATGGACTGAACTGCTACCACATGTCTGCATGATTAGATCACTGCATGAACAAGCAGGTGTGCAGGTGCTCTGTGAGCTGTGAGCAGACAGGATTAATGTTCAGAACTCCTCCATATCATCATCTACGTGTCTCTATAACAGTTCAGTGTGGTCCACTGATGGTGATGTCAAAGTATTATAAATATACCTTTCCATTTACTGCATATTCTTCATAAATGACTTTCTGAACATCATCTCCAGCTGCAGATGGTTCTAATCATTATCCATGTAATAATAATCTAGGCGGGAAACAATAGGAGTGTAATCCAATAGAATTTAAATAAACTGGATTTTCTCTGCTGTTATCTGAGGTGAATGATGGCGTGCACCGATCGCTCCTGACGCGACGCTCCCTCTAACTTACTTAGCGTGATCTGATCTAAAGTCATTCTCTGCAAAATGATCTGTTCTATAGATGATGAGATGACTGGGGCCTCGTGTCCAGGTGTGGTGGTTCTGTGGCTCCTGGCAGCAGCAGACTCAGGGAGACAACCAGAACCGGCCTCTGATGACTTTTAAAACAGAAAGACAATAAAGTAATAAAGTATAAACTATAAATATAGATATATATATATATACATAAGTATATTTACTACTCACAGGTAAACTGCTGTTTTGTCCATACAGGTGTGGTTGTGCAGAACTGCTGTGTGATCACATCACCTCAGGTTTCTAGTAAACATGGTTGTTTGTTCCAGCGATGAAATGACAGTTCCTTAAAATCAGTTTAGCAAAGATAGACGACCTGAGATCAGCTACGGTGTGCTGCAGGTTGGAAAACCAAATATCGCATTTATACCATGTCTCTTTTTACTCTCCTAATTGAGTTATATATCCTTTTATAATTAGTTTTCTTGACAGGAATTGATAACTCTGCTCTGAATGTAATTATGATTAATGACATGATTAGTCTTAACGGTGAGCCTCATGTAGTACACATCATTTACAAAAGAAAAACTCTCACCACTTCTTGAACAAAACTTTTTTGTTTCTCCTCCTCTGCACCCATTACTCATCGCCTGCCTCTCCTCCTCTTTCCCTGCAGAGCCCAGGACGTGTTTCGTCAGGCGATGCGCTCGCCGGTCGTCCGCCTGGAAGTCGTGCCCTCCTCCAGCAGAGAGCGTTACGAGAAGAGCCTGATTGGTCAGCTGTTTGGCAACAGCACCGGTCCCAACAGCAGCCCCCGAGTCGCCAAGACCAAAGAGCCACCGCCGCCCGTCAAAGCCAAACCAGCGTTTAAGCCCTCTGAGAATCCATCCACACGCCTGGCAGAGGACGCCGCCCCCCTGGAGCCTGCTGTGAGTGTCTACAGATCAGCTGGGCCTGGGACACAGCTTACCTGTGTCTTAGCTCATAGAAACAGCTTTTGTTGTGTCACAGACATTACAATGTGGCTTTTAAAGGTGGAGTATGCAATTTAAATCCAGCTGTCTGTTCTGTGTGTGCACTGAGCGATGTTCTTACACAGCCCTGGCTCTGTAAATGGGAAGTGCCTCGAGCCATCCACACAGCTCTATCCCATCATGTCTTGTGCTCGTGCACGGCGACGGGGAGAGGGAGGATGAGGACAGATGGTGGGCGAAGCGGCAGTGGAAGCAAGAGGGAGACTAAGTCTGTCCAATGCTAATTATCCTAATGTGCTAACTAGCTAAATATCAACAGTCTTTGTCCTGAATCACAGACTCCACCTTTACAGCTATGAAAGCACGTTTTAACACCAACGCTGTCCAGTGTTGCTGGACTGGACGGACAGAGTGACTCAACGTTCAGAACCTCATCACATTAACCACTAGCTTGTAGAGCTTCCTCTGAGAACATGCAGGAGCGATCTCCTTCTTCAAAATGCTTCTCTACTCTGAGTCTTTGCACATCCTGTCTTTTATTTTATAACTGAGCAGAGCTGAGAGCGTAGAAACGGCATCAAAGTGTTTTTACTTTGCTCCCACCTCTTTCCGAGAACATCGGGCCTCATAAAACACATGCAGCTGTGTCGTCAACATCGCCATGGTGACACGGCTGACATTTGATAAACAGCTGGCATGGAGGAAACAGTTACCTAGCAACAGCAGATTATCTTATTTTATTTAAAAATAATTCCTGCAGTCGTTCTGTTACCAGATGTGATTTGTTTTTTTTTTTCAATTCCAAAAACTTTCTTTGTCCCCTGAGGGCGTTTTAGGGCGCGTCGAGCCGTTAGATGGACGGATGGTCCAGACGGAGCTGACACGGGTCAGAGGAGCAGAGTGGCTGTACCGGGTCCAGCAGCGTGGCTACGTAGAGGACAGGATTACTGTAGTTACACCGGTATCATTTAAGATGCACGCTGTTGAGCAGAAAGAAGTTCAGTGATTTATGGAGCATTTAGCGTCCTGATGCCAGAGGAGGTGCATCAGCAGCCGGATGAACAGGGAGGCGCTGGTGGAGGTGATGCACTGCTCCATAGACACATTACTGGGCCACACGTCCTGGCTGGTTCTGGAGTCGACTCCCTGCACATACGTGACGTGTTTATATAATGTTCAGTGTTTTAACTAGAGACAGTCGAGATGCAGCATGTTGACTGTACGAGCAAATAAGTGAATGATGACCAACGTATAGAAGAATGAACATCCACCGTGTTCCATGTCTTATACGAGAGTCCTTTATGTGCCGAGGGTCCACATGGGATCCATGTCAGAACCCAAAGCTGCTCAGACCTGTGGGCTCACTGGGCTGGAACATGGAACTAAATGCTGAATGTTCTCCATCCAGAGCCCCAAAGGGAGGAGTGACAGCCCGCCGCTGAAGAAAAGCCCCGCCCCCACCGGCCTGGTGACCAATAAGAGAGGAGGACGGAGGCTGAGGATCGACTTAAAGAAAGGTGGGGACCAGCTGTAGCTCCAGAACCGGGCCTCACACA